TATATATATATCACAAAAAGTATTTTATTTAATTTCAATCTAGCTAGAGGTTTGAAAGTTTTAAAAAGATTAGTATTCATTGAAGTATACATAAATAAAATTTCAATCTAGCTAGAGGTTTGAAAGTTTTAAAAAGATTAGTATTCATTGAAGTATACATAAATAAAAATAATTTATAATTATAGCATATATCATTATATTTTTTGAAGAAATAAATAAAACACCGATCCTTGAAAATCAGTTTTAAAAAAAAAAGAATCATATTCGATTAACACCTACTAAACACTCCTAAAGTTTCAAAAACTAATAATAACATTTATATGACCATAATTTCTACAATAGATATATAATTGTCTAACTATTTGTAATTAGTTAATTTGATTTCAAATTTTCAAAGCATTGTCCTCGCTTTAGAAACATACTTCCAAAAAATTTCGGAAATTACTGTTGAATCTTGATCATATCCCAGCAGCCTAAATCAACACCTTGACCTACTTCCTCTTCTTGGCCCATATCTCTCATGTCTTATTTCTCTAACTTGCCATGATTTACAATATTCTCATGAGTCATGTCCCACAAATAACATTGCCTTGGCCCAACCCAATACATATCTATGTTAGTATATTTTGAGTAAATTAAAGAAATTGTCTTCTTGTTATTATAGTAAATATTATAATTTCGGTTAAATTATTTTATTTTATTTTTATGGATAATCTTCATAAATACATATATTAAAAATAATTAATTAATAATAAAAATAACAAATAATAAGTATGAAATTTACAGAATATGTGGATTGTAATGTGCACAAAATAATTATTTCATAATGACTTAACGTTTATTTTTAACAATGTTAGTAATAAAATAGCAACAAACGGAAACCAATAGAAGTGTTCATATACAAAATTTTAAGAGTTAAAATGATTTCTATTAATATTAATTATATATTTATTTATTTTAGGACCATGTAAATTCTTTAGAATATGTAAAAGATGAAAAGGAAAAAAAAAAAAAAGTTTCTACTTTTAGAATACAAAGAGGATGATGCCAACATGAAATATTCTCATGACGCCGTCAGTCACGGCGCCACCTAAACGCGTAAAACAATCGCCGTTTTCGTGGGTCCCGCTCCTTCCTACTAAGTGGATTCCTACTACTCCTATTAATAAAATGTTAGCATTTTTAATTGATGTGTTTTAGTTTTTATTAAAACAGCATTGAAACTCTTTTTTACAATATTTCAAGAGTATTGAAAGCTGTTCTTTTCATTATTAATTAATCAATTCATAACATTACAAAGTACAAACCCTCCACTACTTCTGACTATTGTAACTAAAACTCACGGAATGTTTGGTATGCATAAATTTTATTAAGAAAAATATGTATTTTATAAATGTCAAACTAAATAATACTAATTTAATTTCGTAAAAAAAATATTGACAAAATTTTATAACTCTTTTCTTATTTTTTTAGTATAAAGATGTATGAAAAAAGTTCAATTTGAATTACTAACATTAAATACTTATTTATTTATTTATTGTGTGTTTTTGATATTGAATATTTAAATCTCTTTTCCCTCTAAATTCTGGCAACGTGCTGGGTTGTCATATTGTCCCTTTGATGATTATCTGACTTTTATTCTTGCCGGTGCCTTCTACAAAACCATAAATATTTATTATTTAATATTTAAAATTCTTAGTCTTTTGTTTCTAAAGGGATCACTTTCTACTTTTTAGTAAATTAGTTTCCAGTCTAATTTCCTTTTTGCATGTTGTAAATCATTACATGATTACGATGATATTACTTTTGATTTGATTTTGTATTTATTAAAAAGAAAATTGAACTTTAATATACATGGCTTTAAAAAGAAAATTGGTGCACCAACAAAATCCATCCAAACCGTGTTACTATGTTATGACCTACAAATTATCATGTTAATATGTTCTACTATTTGTTTCTTAACATGATATTAATCGGTAATCACATAATATAAATAATCAATTGTAATTTTGGATTTATAATTGTTTTTAAAATAAATACTTAATAACTATTTACTATAGTTTACAACAGCTTATAAATTACAATTTTTAATTATTTATTTGTGTAACCTAGGCTATACACATGTTACTCGTGAATGTAAGTAAAAATGTTGTTCATTTCATTTTATTATTATTTATTTAAACATTTTTAGTTTTGGAATGGAAGTAACAGAAAAAAGCCAGGGAAGCAAAGGAACTTAACATGGGTTGGGTGGCAGGTGAATCAATTTCTCTAATATTAGTTCTAAAAATAATTAAAATATTCATACAAAATCATTTGAATTTAATAAAAAAATAATATTAATAAATCCCCTTTATATACAGACATTGAGGGAATTAACAGAAAACACGCATTGGCCAGTTGGGCCATTTTCTCATACACACATCTCTTTCTCTCTCCCTCAGAAAATATGCATCCGCCGCGCTTACACTTCCTCCTCCTTCTCACCCTCCTCGTCTCCGCCGCCTTCCTCCACGTCACCTCCGCCGCCGATGACAATGACAATGACGCAGATGATGTAAACAATCTTGTTTTCGAGAATCCAAGTCTCCGGAGAGCATACATTGCTCTTCAAGCATGGAAAACCGCCATCTTTTCCGACCCGTCCAACTTCACCGCCAACTGGACTGGCCCAGCCGTTTGTTCCTACGGCGGCGTGTTCTGTGCTCCTTCCTTGTTAAACAGCTCGAATAGAGTGGTTGCCGGAATTGACCTCAACCATGCTGATATCGCTGGTTACCTCCCACCGGAGCTCGGCCTTCTAACAGACCTCGCTGTCTTCCACATTAACTCCAATCGGTTCTGCGGCACTGTTCCAAAAACTTTCAAGAAGCTTAAGCTCCTTTTCGAGCTTGATTTAAGCAACAACCGTTTCGTCGGGGCTTTTCCCACGGTGGTTTTATCGTTGCCGGTGTTGAAATTCTTGGACCTCCGGTTCAATGAATTTGAAGGGTCTGTTCCATTTAAACTTTTCGATAAGGATCTTGATGCAGTTTTCTTGAACGATAACCGGTTTAAGTTCGGTATTCCTCCGAATTTGGGTAATTCGCCGGTGTCAGTGCTTGTTTTGGCCAACAACGATCTCGGTGGGTGTCTTCCGGCGAGTATTGGACAAATGGGGTCGACGTTGAATGAGATTATTCTCATGAACGACAATTTGACGAGCTGTTTGCCGGTGCAAATTGGAGCTTTGAAAAAGGTGACTGTTTTCGACGTGAGCTTCAACAGTCTTCAAGGGCCGTTGCCGGCGGCGATAGCCGGAATGAGGAGTGTCGAGCAGCTGAATGTGGCACATAACAAGTTGACAGGGGTGGTGCCGGACAGTATTTGTAAGTTACCCAGGTTGCAAAACTTTACTTTCTCTAACAATTACTTTACTGGAGAAGCGCCGTCATGTGTTGCCACCGGAGGTGGCGGTGGCAAGGTGTTTGATGATGGTAAGAATTGTATTGTTGGGAAAGCGAATCAACGTTCCGGAAGGGAGTGTTCTTCTGGTGATGCACGTCCTGTTGATTGTAGTAAGTTGCAGTGTGGTGTGTCTCCATCGCCGGTTCCAGTTCCATCTCCACCGCGCTCTAAGTCGGAATCTCAGTCTAGGAGAAGAACTCCGCCTGCTCCACCAGCTCCAAAACTGTCTCAGCCACCAAGGCAAAAAGTCAAGGCTGCTCCACCGCCTCCTATTTTTGAGACTTCACCAAATATGAGGTCACGTCCTCCACCGCCGCCTACGGATAGAAGTTCTTCAAAACCCAACCTTCGACCACCACCTCCGACTTGGCAAGTCTCACCAAACAATCGACATGCACCACCACCTCCAACTTTTGAATCTTCACCTGTAACACGTGTTGCCCCACCACAATCACCGCCACCACCACCTCCTCATTCACCTCCACCACCACAATCACCACCACCACCACCACCGCCTCCACCACAATCATCGCCACCACCTCCTCCCCATTCACCACCACCTCCACCACCATCACCACCACCTCCGTCTCCGTCACCACCTCCACCACCATCACCACCACCTCCGTCTCCGTCACCACCTCCACCATCGCCACCACCTCCGTCTCCGTCACCACCTCCACCAT